AAAAGTAACTTATAACAATAACTTACAAGTAACGAGTTACTTCCATTCATTGAATATTTATTCGCGACAACAAAGATGAAAATTTTTTAATGTTTACCAATTGTAATTTCATATTATATAATTTTAATAATTACATGTCTGCTATCCAATATTGATAACATTTTCAAAGAACAATAAGATATAGCATCCTTTACAAAAAAGTTCTCAAATTCGAAATTCACACAACAAATTCACTCGCGGAAGCTGAAATTTTTTAAATTATTAATATAAATCTATTGTGTTTGTGACATATTGTGATTATGAAGGTGTTTCATGTACTTTTGTCCTCAGCCTTAATCGGAATTGTTTTTGCAAAATCTAAATGTACACATTAATGTATTATAATAGTACACCACAGATTGATACATAATTACAAAAAAAATTTTATTACAGTTTTTATGTATTATTGCATTATATCTATCAACTTGTGAGAAGTGAATATTACTAAAAATGTATAAAGATATTTTCTATAAATAAAAAAAGCTTATAGATATAAAAAAATGAATATTTTAGGGGGATATATTTTAATTTACTTTAAGAGTATAATATTTTCATAATACGTATGTATCTATTTATTTTAACTCACTATCAAAAATAATATTTTTTCTAAATATAACATTATGACACGTTAAAGAATCAATAATTGCAATGACACGTTAAGAATTTCTACTTGCATTGAAAAATATGATACTATAAAACACTAAAAAGTTCTAATATGCTCAACATACAACGTATAAAGGAAATTTACATTAGGTTTATTTCTTAGAACTTATTATTTATTTAATAAATTTGAATAATTTTGCTTGAAATTGTCAGCTAAATTAATCATTAATAAATTTCTTTTAATTCAGTTATCCATCTTCTTTTAATTAAACTCTTAATCAAACGGGACCATCTTCTTCAAATTCCACTAAACTTTCTAATGATACAAATCTAATGTACTCTGTTTTGAGAATTATTTAAAAAATTACACAAAAAATTATATTTATTATTGAAACGCAAGAAATATTTATTCTAAAGGGATAAAAAAGTACATATGGACAAAGATGTTTCAATTAAAATTAATGTATTAAATTCAATATTATAAAAATATTATAAAAATCATTAAATAGATAATATTATCTGATTTATATCATGCTTATGATATTTAGAATATACATATATACATCAATAAAGTTAAATAAAAATTATATATTATTAATTAAATATAAACAAAGGTCAATCGAGCAATAATCGAGCAAAAAAAGTTACAAACAAATTAGTTAATTATTCATAAATCGACAAAGATAAAACGAACGTTTCGGGACCATTGGTCCTTTTTCAGCTAACGTACTTTAAACATGATTGTAAACTAATGTAATTCTATAAAGTTTTGCATTAGTCGGTGAAACACTGACATAATAAATTGGTGAGTCATTCCACAATGCGATCGATAAAAATTCCATAATGAGATTTTCTTACATATTGAAGCAGAGTAAACCCAAATGTATGACCCTGTTTCACGTCATAAAGGATAATCAAATCTATGTCAATCATTATGCAAATAGATCATCGATCCATTGTTGTTCAGCAAAAGTCAATGACCCAAATTAAGGTAATTTAGAGTAAAGTATTAATATGGAAGCAGGGACATCATATCTGATGTGTTAACGCAATCGATGCTCGAATTCACATTTGAATTATAAAATTAAAAAACAGATTGCAAAATGGTAGAGGATTTTTTTACTTAGTTTAGTCCGCTTTACCTGCCTTTATAACTAGAGCGGCCTATTATCGATTACTTTGTATATAAAAATACATTATAAGAATAAAATTAAAATTAACTACAAATTTTTATATTAACATTTTATATTATTGTTATTACCCCAGCAAACGAAAATGGATTAAAATGGATTGAAATTTTTTTCTATTCGAATGCGTATTTTAAATAGCGAATACTTTTTTTTGGATTTAATTAGATTCAATTGGATTCAATTGGATGCAATTGAATTGAAAAACTGCATTTCCTATTTAAAATTTTGAATTGAACAGTATTTACAATGCATAGAAAAAGCTAATATTATTTTTAGATTGAAAGGCATAGAGATATGCTCCATGCAATTCTTATAAATGAATAAAAATGCATTCAGAACTGAAAAGCATTCATTTTAACATTCGTCAATATTTCTGAATCAATATTTCTGAAAATCTGAATCCATTTCAAAATTCACTTTAATCCATTCTCGTTTACTGGGACAAGAATAATTTTACGTATTTTTACTTTACAAAAAAAGCATTATATTCTGCGCATAACTTCAATATATGAAATAGTTTATCAAAGTTATCAGCGTCGAAACTCGACATGTGTATCGACTTGAGTTCGTGTAAAAGCCACGTATGTAAAAAGCATCCACATTTGTGTTTAGTATAAAGACATAATATTACAAGAATAATCGTTTATGCATAAACAATTATAAACGTAACTATTTTTGCAATATTATGTCTCTATGGCTTTGTAATAATACGTATGTATAGATAATTCCGCGAAAAGAAAGACAATCTAATCTAAATTATCTATGCGTTTAGTCTGTCGTTTAATACTTGCTGGTTGAACGGCATATATTATACATACATTATCTATTAATGTACATATTTTACAGTGAATTACAGAGAATTACAGTGTAATTCTCACAAAGTTTCTAGAGTATCTGCAAAAACTATTTCTGAAATTCTTATAAAAAATATTAAAACGTTTGTGTCTCGTGCACCAAAAACTAATTCAAATTACTAGCCAACGATCTGGAAACTATGACAAAGACGTAACAAACAGCACTGGCACCATTATTGATCATCAGCTCGTCCTGCAATTTTAAGTTTGTTCGAATATCCACTTGGACAACCTAGGCCATATCTCTCTTGTCTGTATATCTTGATCACATGGAGCTATTTTACGTATTCCATTTACTATCCATTGTACATCGTACTGGAAGACGTATTCTCGATCTCAATATCTATCATACAATGCTAATTATCACAATTAAATCGATTGTTAACTTCTTTCGTTTTAAAGTAAAAATTTTAAAATATATACTACCGATCGCGCTAATATTACTTGATCTTTTTAAAATTTTTTAACCTTTGTTTAATCATTTTTTGCATTAAGTGCATTAAAGGAGTTTTGATCTCACAATTATAGACAATATACAAATATAAAATATACAAATATAAAAAGTTTTTAAACAGATCAGTTTTAACATTTATATTATTTATTGTAGACAATATACATATTTGGTAAAATTAATGTTTGTATTTATATTATTTTCTTAAATTGGATTTTGATATAATTTTTTTAAATCGTATATTTCAAATATTAACTAAATTGCAATAACTCTTTTATCTGTCACGTTTTCAATATATTATATATTGCAATAACAATTTCTATTCAATGAAAATTATAGAGCTAGATAAGATCTTTAATGCTGTAATTTTTAAAAACAATAAAATAAATTCTAACAAACGTTTCTATCCCGATCGGTCATTCTTAATATTAACATAACTTACAATTTAAAAATTAAATCGGTACATATAATGTGATTGTTAAGTGATAAAATTGTGAAAAAACAAAAATTAAACTATAACATTTTTTTTAATACTCACTTTTGTTTCTTCAGTAGTAAAAAAAAAACGGTTGTCGTTTAAAGTTAATGAAGGCAGCCACGACTTTTCTGTGCGGGTCAGAATTTCTTTTTACATTTATAGCGTAACATCAAAGTATAAAAACTGTTAAAAACGGCGTTAAATCTAGAAAATTACAATATACTTGTAAATGAGCATTGTCGTGATTGCAGAATAAATATAACAAAACAATTGAGTATAAATTAAATCCCTAAAAAAGTACCTGGAAAATTGGTTGCAATCCATTTAAAAACGAATCGACGAATACTTAATTAATATAAAAAGCTATATAGATAAAGCAACACAAATTGAACAAATTTTGCACAAGAGAACTCAGGTCCAAACTATAGATGTTCACTTGGTACGTTGTAAAATAATAATGATTGTTATAACAAAGGCAGAGGATAAGTAGGTGAGTAGGGGAAGTGCAAAAAGGAGGGGGTATCCAAGAAATGTTAGGAAGGGGATAATGGGGATTGTAGGATGGGAAGATAGACACGTATCTATCATCTGCAGATAAAGATTCTATAGAGAAATTATGGTAAATTTCTATTGAATTATATTAATTTTGGCGACACGTGTAAACATAATATACATGATATGAGTATTTAATTAATCATTTTGGTGCATATTGTACCACTTTATAGTACATTATTCTTTAAATATATATTGCCACCGATGAGATACTATTAAAGTATCAACCTGGGCAAATTTTCGGCAGTATAAAAAGGGCCCCGAGGGCCCGGAGATAATTGAAAAACGCTGACAATTAATATATTATAATTATCGACAATTAATATAAATTTGCTATTATTAACATAAATATTTGATTCATACATTATTAAATTCATGATTTTTTATTACATAAATATGCATACTTGTAAAGCTATAATATCCCATATATTGGCTATTATATTTCCTATATATTTTTTCTCTGCAATTATCATCTCTGTTAATAATCAAGCTTTGATGATAACACACTGATGATAACTGAAATTACAATTTTAAAGAAAAATCACGTATTATTGAGTTCTAAATGCATAAATACGTTTACTAAACTAATAAATCGTAAAATTAGTACAATATTATCAGTTTTTAACTCTTAATATTTACTTCAATATTTACAAGGACGCAAACTCCAGTAAGTATGTCGGTCTTTAATAGTATCTCGTCGGTAATATTGCTAAAAAGTGCTCGGCACTGCTGTAAAAGGATTAGCGCTATCTCTGGGCGCGATCCGTTACTCGTTCGCTCGATGACGAGACAACACCCTTCCCGACACTTCCGTAGATTCCGCGCTGTCGCGATCAACGTGGTACTCGTGCTCGTCGTCGTCAACGTCGTTGTTGTCGTCGGGGAAGAGGGACATTGGCAGCACTGACGATGCTCCTTTCCAGATGGTATCTCCTCTCTCCGGTGACTAATACGATACGCGATCGTACGCGACTAACGTGAATAACTACGGAGAGGAGGAACGTTTTGAACGACCCGTTTCGTGCAACGCGCGAAATGAACATTCCTTGAGTCGCAGTAAGTGGCGAGGTGCACGAAACGCGCATCCTTTCTTTCTCATTCTCTCGCGCTCTCTTTCTCAGTTACCCCTCTGCATCGTCGTCTGTCGCGATTGTTTACCGCCGAGAGGCAACGCCGACTTGTCGCCGATCATCCTCTCCTTCAGCTCGAGGATACCCTAATCGAGTAACACCTTCTCGGTCGACGATATCTAGCGACTACGCTCGACCTTCGTGTGTTCGTCCGCAAAGAAATTTCTCACACGACTACGCGATTGTTAGGACGATCTGCCGCTTATTTATATCGCTCCCTCTTTTTTTTTTTCCTGTTGTCCGAAAGCCGTCCAGGACACGGAACTGCCACCGAAAAATGATCTACGCGTAAGGTGAACGTCGTCACGCGCGCGTCTAGCTCCGTTAAGGCATATGTAGTAATTGCGAGTGACTAATATCCAGCGATTATATGATTGCGTTGGGTAAGAGACGGCACTAGGCTATCACTTAATAAGCTAAACAACTTGAAGACTATTACTGCTGTGAATGCTCTTCTCTCATTAAGCCGTGTTGACCTGTACGTTTCACAATGGATTTCTCCTGTTAAATGTGCCTTTGATATGTTATAAAAACTAGCATTCTGTAGATGAAAGTAGCAGACAAATAGAAAGGTAGAAGTTTATAAGTTCAGTAAAAAATCATGCAATGGTTGCAAAACCACTTTTTCTGCCGAATGCAAGAGATAATTGTCAACAACCAATAGGAAATAAAGGTTCATAACGGTCGAAGCTGAATCTTTAATGTTTAAATAATTTCATGTGCATTTGTATATACTCTATGTGTGCATATATATTTGTAATCACTAGAACTGTGCGACGAGATTTTTTAAAAATGCAGCTGAATTACTGTAGCAATATCAATTAAATTTGATGCTCAAAAAAAATAGGCATTTTTTAAAAAGATATCTTGATATGCTGGAAATCTGTAAATAAATTTATTTATTAGATAATTGTCAATTAGAGCTTTCAAATTATATATACTGTCCATTGTATATGTTGAAAAGGTGTGCTTCGGAGATAAGTTAAACTATTACTTGGAGTTGAGTTAAACTTAATTCATAAGTACTGTTTCTTTATAAAGTTTTTTCCTTATTTGATAAGTGATAAAAAATAAAAAGACTTAATGTAATTGATGAAATCTGCTTGACTAAATTTTAATCGATTATAAATCGATTTTTATTTTGTACATCATCATTTTCCATCTTCCATTAATTTTTGTATCACCTACTATATATATATATATATATCTGTATATTG